CAAACTTGGCTCTCCAATTTCTCATTCCAAGCTGCTATCCACTACACCACCTGCACATTTTCAAATTAGGCATACCCTTTATCATTTTATATAGAATATAAAATATTGATTAAAATTATATGAAAGGTATTAAAAATATTACTGAAAAATTGTTTGATTTTTTTAAATTCCGAATTTTTCATTGCTTTCAATGAGTTGAGATCTGCATTTATTTACTAATGTTAAAATGTAAAATTTGACCTATTTTAAGAATATATTTTTTTTTTTTTCATTTTTTATTAGATTCTTTTTGAAAAGGTGACAGAATGATAGCCTGATTCATTTTAAAAAAATATTATTAAAACGTTTTTCTGAACAGGAGACTAATCTTTATGAAAGAATAGTGATGTATTGTACCTTTTTTGAAAATTTGCTTTGTATCAGTTTACTTTTATGAAAGATCTTCATTAATTATATATATATATATATATATATATATATATATATATGAAATGACCGAAAAGGAAGAAGCAATTGTCTTTAATATATTTTAGGAAAAATACTTAAGTATTCTGAAAACCTTGGAAATTTATATCTGCCTGTTTTGGTGTTGAAGGTTGAGTCTTGTCATTTACTGTACCTAATGTGAAAGGGTTGACAATATGCCTGACTGCTTAACTTAATGCATTTTTCTATCTCCAGTAACCAACACCCAACAAACCATTCAACACTAAAGTCATATTTTTTCGCAGCTATCTTTTCTTTGAGCACAGTCTAGTAGTAGACTAGATTATCCTGATCTTTACTTCTCAAGGTTATCTCGTGAGAATTATGGATTAGGTAAGATCATCTCCTGTATTGTTCTTACATACTACACAGATCATATATTGATTTAGCAGTTGAGGTTTCTTGTTTGCAAAAGTTAGACACTTTGAAAATATTCACTGCTTTTTTTTCTTCATATGTTTTTAATTGTACCTAAAAAATTTCATAGGAAAGACTACTGAATGATTATATAATATCAGTCCTCCTACATAACAATGAATGCTGGGCAATCATCTCATAGATGAAGTGACTTGAAGCAACAGGAATTTGTTTCTACAGAAGGATGCTGAGAATGCCATAGGCAGAACATGTGAGCAATGACAACGTTTTAGAGAAAATGGAAATAAAGACATATATACTTAACATCAGGAAGAGATAGTTGAAATTTCTAGGGTGCATAATGAGAAAAGAGGGTTTGTAAATTTGTTACTAACAAGATATATTGAATGCAAGAGGGATAGAGGAAAATAACGTATAACCTACCTAGCAAGCTTGAGTAAATAGATGGCACAGCAAGGTTTAAGAGAGATAACAAGACAAAATTTATTAAGAGCTACAAAGGACAGAAAATTGTGGAGAGCCATGATTGACTACATCCTAAAGGAACACAATACATAGACGAATAATATCATTAATCATGAATCTTTCCATGTTTGTTGTAGTTAAGTCTGCTTCCATAGTAACCAACAAATACTGACAAAGACAAGAGGAAGTACAAGCACCGAGTGAATGGTGATAGTGGTAGAGTTGGGTGTACAATTCCAGTGACTATTTAATACATTTGAAATGGTTGGATAGAGTGGGGGGGATACTATCTCTGTCTTATAAATGGATCTAGTTGCAGGACACAATATAAATACGTTTTACCTTTGTGAATTTCCAGGTGAAAAAAAAAAACCTTTTGTGTTTTTTTTTATTTCCTATCCACTTACAAAAAAGTTTTAAGGATTATATTGTTGAAGATTTTGTGCAAGATTTTCTTTTTCCTTTAATTGATGTAGGTAGTTATGATTAGAAATTTGGTTTTAAATATTTATCTAATTTACTTGTAAAGAAGAAAAAAAAAAAATCTTGTTTTTTAGTATTTTGCATTTAATGTGGCCATATCACATTGAAATACTGGTTCTTGTCTGATCACTAAAGTTGAGCAATATTTTGTCTGGTCAGTACCTAGATTGGTAACCACTTGGGAATACCAGGTGCTATAAGCTAGGATGTGCAGTGTGTGTAATAGTGTCTCAGAATGATAAATTGGAGACTCAAGTTTGTTGCATTCACTTACACACAAATACCCTTGGGAAAGATATGAATCTTTTCCTCTCACCTATGGGTTAAATAGGAGGACAGACTATAGATTTAAATTAAGGAATTTGGACAAGTGATGGAAAGAGACAATTTGTTCTTCATGTGTGTCCCAAATAATAATAATAATAATAATGACTGCTTGGCACTTCTGAGTAAGACAGTCCCTTCCTAGGTAGGAGAGTATCCAAAGGGAGCAACTTGTGAAGATTAACACAAACTGGGTTCTATAGCTTTGGTTAGGAACCATTCTACTGCAGAAAGTAATAGCAATCTATTCCAGGAATTCTTCTGCTGATTCAATCAGGAATTGAAAAGAGACATGGTCACCCAAGTGTGCATCACACATGGCACTTAAGGAAGGAAGCATTTAACATAAGGCATTTTTTAAGTTGATTTTATATAGCTTATAAGGTATTAATTTAAGGTCATCATTATTGTTACAGTGCTAATATTTTTTGCTTAATTGGCAAAGTAGTGAAATGGTTAACATTTTTTGATACTGAGTGTTTATAATGATTGTTTTCTGTGATAAAAATCTGTGCTAGTATTCAAAATTTTATTTCTATTTTGCAAAAGTTATGAAAGTTGCTGTCAGAAGAATGACCAAAGGGAAAGTTGTAAGGTGGAAATTAAAAAAAATAAAAATAAAAAGATTGTAACTTTAACGCCTGAAAGCAGGATCACCAGACCAGATATGACAGAAATATTTGATGCACAGATGAATGGTAGATTTAGAAATTTATCAGAGTTTGATCTAATGGTGCTCATAATAAAATATTTTAGTAATGTAGATTTGTTTTTGAATTGAGTGTCCAATTTAATTAGTTTAAAATAATGAACACTCTTTCTCATAACATTGAAAAATGTACAAATATTCCTAGAGATGTGAAATGTAGCGAATAATTGTGTATATACACTAATTCAAAAAATCAAAAATCCTCAGATAATATCAATGTAAAAGTAATTGTATTTAGCACCACCATACTTTGGTGTCAAGGAAATGTCCCAAATTCAATCAGTTGTGCTCTGGTGTGTCAGTGTATTGAATACCAGCTTGGCTTTTTGTGGCATGGGAAATTATCAGTTTGAATAGGGCATAATAATAGGTGCCAAATGGATGCTACCTTCCATTTGTGAAATTGGAGAAATATTTGACATCCCTTTTATCCCTGTGATCATGTGTGTATCTGGTATCTAATGGACGGTATTACTGCTCTCTGTTCACAGTACAGTAGTTGACCAGGAGGTACCAAACTTTTTTATCCAGCTGATCAGTTTAGCATTTTTCAACTTTCGTGGTTTGAAGCAGAAAACCAACCAAGATGCTCCTATTAATATCACAACATTGGACACAGCATCTCACTTGGAATCATAATATCACTAATTAAATTTTGCAGGACTGCCAATGTCTGGCATGGTCTGATAAGTTGCAGTTGTTTCAGGTTGATAGTAGAATTCGGATGTTTGTCAAGAATCTTGAGATATACAGGATGCAATGGGTAAAATGTCGCATTTTATATTTTGTACATGCATGTTGTTTGTTTTTGATTTTGTCGACTGCATGGTAAAGTAGGGTCAGTTAGGCATCATCTGTGAGAAGAAGAGCATCGTGATGCAATTTACTCTGCCAGAAATTTGGAAACAGCATACTGTATGTACTGCTTGGTGTTTGTGCTGGAAGCTTCAATATGAACATTTCACTATGTTTGGGTGTCAATTTGAGGACAGCACAGCAGTCTCGGAAAAAGTTGGATGAGTCACATGGTGATTATGAAGGTGTCTGGAGTGATCACTAGTGATACTGACGTTATACCTCCATTCATCTACCCACAGGGCCTCAAATTCAACACAGAGGCCTACATGAAATGCTTTGAGGAGGTGACTGCTGGAAGACCCTATGTCTGGCAACAAGACTCTGTACCATGCTACACAAACAGGACAACCCAGTCATGGTTATCAGACAATTTCTGTGGCTTTACATCTAGTCACCTAACTCTCCAGACTACAACCCCCTTGATTATTATGTGTGTGGTGCAATTGAGTGAGAGACCAACAAAACTACTTGCAGCACAAAAGATGAAATGAAGGCAAGGATTATGGCAGCATACACCAACTTAACCAAGGAGACTGTCCAGAAGAGATGCAGCAGATTCTGGAGGCTGTGGTTGAAGCCAATGTTGATTTTATTGAATAAATTTACTCTTTAGTATTTAAAGATATTTTTGTGTAATTTTGGCAAATATATCTATTAAAATGAGATGTCAGCATTATTTTGTTTTTGCAAAATTTAGACGACAATTTATCCATCGCGCCCTGTTTAGTAGGAGCACCAGACCAGATATGGCAGCAGTATTCGATACGCAGGTGATTCTATTCAAAATGTTATAACTAAAATCTAAGCATAAATGTGTTAATATATTTCATATAAGATGTGTGTCAAGTTAATTTGCAGCTGTTGCACACAAGTTACAAGCAGTTATCTCAAACTGATAGTCTTTTCTTAATATAAAACATTGAACAGAAGGTACTCTTATTGACTGCCTGTCCATATTTGTGCATCCCATAATCGTTAACCACTCTACATTGAGGTGAAGTGTTGGTGGTGATGATGTATGACTCTTTCAATATTCAGAGGGATTTTTTTTTTTTAAGTATGAAAGACAAGGTTCATATATTGTGTTGGTGTAAAATAGTGAAGTGATTGTTGTTGAAAGTAACAGTAGGCAGTGTTATATAACCCATGAAGTTGTTGATGTGCAGATTTTCTTATCTCATCAGTTACTTGCTGTCAATGTATATTCGTTTTGAGTTTTAGCTATGTGTCCAATCTTTTACAGTGTTTTCCAGTACATTTTAAATGACCTTATTGATCTTTTCTTTTTCTTTATAAGTTCCAAGCCTGTTCTCAAGAAGGTACTAGCCATGGTCAGCTAAGGGAGAAACAATTTGCCAGTCTCCCAGGTAAGAAATATTTTTGTATTTTCTTTTAGGTATTAAAATTACTCATTTATTATACATAATGATTATTTTTTTTTTTTTTGTAAGTATGGCTGGAAGTTATATTTCCAGTTAACTTTCAGTGCTCAAAATTTAGTTTGTTTTTAATGTAAAGCCAGCTTTCCCTCACGATCTGCTTAGGTGAAACCTGGGTAGGTTTTTCTGGCTCACTAGGTTTATCTAGGTCTGCTTTCCAGTTGTATTGAGCTCTTTTTAGTTAGTTGTTTACTCGTGTCGAGATTTTTTTCTTTGGGCTTTGAACCTGTATCTGTGCGATTTTTTTTCGACAGATTTTCATGTTCCTGGCTCTTTCTTTCTTTTATAACTTTTTTTCCCTTTGAGATTGATTTGATGATTGGCAAATCAAAAATTCAAAGGTTTTTAGAGACTAGTATAGTTACCTATATATATATATATATAGTTAAACCTAGAGAGCCAGATAAACCTACCAAGGTTTCACCTAAACGGATCGTCAGGGAATGCTGGTGAAACCTTGGTAGGTTTGTCTGGCTCTCTAGGTTTAACTAGGTCTGCTTTACTCATTGTATTGAGCACTTTATTTAGTTGTTTTGAGTACTCGTGATCCGGTTTTTTTTTTTTTTTTTTTCTTTTGGGCCTTGAACCCATATGCTGGATGATTATTTTCATTTAATATACATGTTCTTGGTTCTCTCTTTTTTTTTTGTACGTTTTTTTTCCCCTTTGGTATTGGCTTGTTTATTTGCAAATCAATACAACGAAGGTTTTCAGAGCGAGTATAGTTTCTTATACTTATAAGATTTCTATTAATAATTATATATATAGTCTTAGCATTCTCCATCGCAAAAAAAAGAAAGCCATCATACACAATTCTATGCACATTGGCATGACACATGGTGGATGGGACTTCCTAAATTCTGGATTTGTTGCATTAAATTTAAACATAACGTTACACTAAATGTGCTGTTTACAACTATTACACTTTTCCGCATAATACCCGAAGTACACAATTCTGAGGATGACTCAAATAAGTTAAAAGCTTGGACATGGATTATAAAAGTTTTGGAAATTTTGTACATCAACAACTGGCGTTTTCATGAAGGATAATTCATAATTTGGGAAGAAGATGGATAAAGTCAATAGATACAACATGTCTGTACTCTTTAATAAGACATGTTTGAAGGAGCAATTGTTGCCTAATTCTTTGTGTGTGCACACACACACTATATATATATATATATATATATATGTGTGTGTGTATTGTTGCAGCAGATCATTATTCAAATATATATTGTTAAATATAACAGACATTGAATGTCTATTATGTTTGATCATGAGCCATTCTGAACTTCATATAGTTGCTTTAATTTTGGGAGAAAATTTATAAAAATTGTCCAACATTTGGATATTTTTTTTTATTGTGCTGTTCCTTGATCTATGCTTTCAGCTCACATGAGCCATCTTCAGAGTGGTTATATGGACATTTAACATATTAAAGATATTTACCATCAAAGATGATATTCTGTTACTAGGTGGCAATAATGGTCATAAATTCTTGATGCAGTTCTGTTACATCATACTACATGTGAGAACGAAATATTAACAACAGAACCATATGTCTAAATCTAATGTGTTGTTACGAGTTTGAAATTATGTATACATTTTTATATATATATATATATATATATAAGCAATTTCAAATTTTTTTTTTTTTAAATGGACATCCCATTTTTTATTAAACAATGTACTATATCTTTAATCCTGGCACATTTGAGAGATCTTGCTGAAGATCCCTGCTGGGGGACACCTTTTCTTTACTAAGATATTTTTGAATGTGCAGGTTGATAGACATAACACATAGGTTAATAATTTCAAACAAGGCATCTATTACAAAAAGTATCTACTATAATATTCGTTGAAGTAGTATGTATGTATAAAATTCTTGCTAGTCATAACAGCTATAGAACTGCAGATTTAGCTCAGAAATAGTTAAAATTATAACCATGATTATTGCCACTGATCTTATAAATCTGGTGCTACTGGGCACAAGAAGTGAAGGATAGACTCATTCTTGCTTGAGAATATAACTTAATGCCTAAATATTTTTGGTTCTGATCAAAATCAAAAGTTATTTTATAAGCATTTTAACTTGTGTTTCTTAAAGAATAAAAAAATTATAAGGAAGATGCATAATTGCAATAATCTATTAAGGGCTTAACCTTGATATATGTCTTCTTTTCCTCAATCATAAATTTTTCATTTGTTATCTTTTTGGGAAAGTAAATCTGTAACTGCTTTGTTATCAGTCCTCTCAATTACTCCTTGAGAGTCATCCTACATGAATATTTCTTTATGTAATTGCATTGTATCTATGGTTCTTTGAAGTAGCAATTTAACTCTCCTTCTACTGATAGTTGGTAGGTATGGAAATTTGTTCATTTTTTATTGTCTGCATTGAGGAAATAAAGAACATATTGATTTTCTAACATTTTTTTTTTATTTTTGTTTAATATTTGCTTCAATGCAGTCTGCATTTAGTAACTGTTTTATGTACATAGTATCTATTCTCTACTTGATGTAAATGGATAGTTTCTGTTAAGAGGTTGTCTTATGGCCATATCATGCAGACACAACAGTTCCCATACAATCACCATAGTTAAGCAATGTTGAGCCTGGTCAGTACCTAGATGGGGTACTGCTTGGGAATACCAGGTGCAGTAAGCTTGGATGTGCAGGTGATATAATGGATAATGGCTCTGAATTGTTAATTGGAGAGCAGAGTTCCAATTCCAGTCAGATTTGTTATATTCACTTACATACTTTAGGAAAGATATGAATCTACCGCTCATCCCAACTATGGGTTAAAAAATTTTTCTTCAAAATTAAATTTTTCTATATAATGTAACATTGGTGGAATTGATAACTTCCTGATGCAGTCACAACTTTGTTGGACTGGGCATCTTGCAAAGATGAGTGACAACAGAATACCTAAGGTCATGTATAACCAGCTTGACAGTGGATAAAGTAACGTTGGACAGCCATGGCTTAGGTATAAAGACATGTTAAAGAGTAACTTCTAAGCTGTCAATGTGCCTCATACTAATTTCAAGTGAGTTGCTCTGGATAGAGTTGACTGGAGATACTTATATCAGTGTGATATTAGCTGGCTAAGAGATGAAGAACAATGGCAAAAAGTGCCAGCAAATGTTCCTGTTGTGATGTCCCAAGATTCTCAATGTTGCACAAAGTATGGACTTGTCTGCAAGTCACTAGCAGAAGTGTCATATACGATACAAACATAAAAACTGAGTGAGGTTTTCGGATACTCATATGTCAAAATTGATGAGAGAGACTATCATATCTGTGAACTGACTCCCCTCCTTCTTTTGGTGTCATCTGCACAATTGATATGACTAATTATATTACTTTAATTCTGTTTTCATATTCAGCCCCAACTTCTAAGGCATTGGACGCCATGAAGAGATCCTCATCAGTTCCTGTTCGGCCTCAGGTAAGTTTCTCTTATTTACTTTTTTCATTCTATCATAATAATAGACAAATTTTAATGATCAGGCACCAATTGCAATATTAGGAAATTGTTTTCTATAGTCATGATCTTTGTTTGGTTTTCTTAATGGTATACAATCTTTCATCTGACATTTTGAAAACCAAAAAGCTCAAAGAACTTTTTTTTTGTTCTCCTCCCCCCCCAATGGATGGTATTTGCACACTGAAGCATTATTTGGTGCTGAACATAACCAATTGTAACTTTTAAGCAACTTTAAATTTACATTTGATCTGCTTTACAAGGGTAGGTGGATGTTATTGCAAATTATTTTGAGATTATCTTGGTTCGACCTGCAGGAGGCAATTGTTTCTCAGCACTTCGATGAGTCAGATATCACTAATATTCTTTATATTTTGTTGAATGAATATTTTTATGTAAGAGTAAAATGTTGAAAACTTGTTTATCCCTATAAAAGGCTGAATGTATCCACAATTGGGTAGCATAATATTTCAGTACACAGCATTAATACCCATCACATAATCATCTAGAGGTGCTGAAAATCTATTTTGTAAAAGCTGTAGATTTCTAATAACTATATTTCAAAAACACATTTACCAAGGGGGGTTAAAGAGAGCTGCAGATTCTTCTGTGGGTAAAAATTATCTACTCTATATAGAGTACTTGTACTACCATTCTGAAATTTTAAAAATCTTCAGTCAGTAAAGTGATTCATCCCAAGGACTTCAGAGAAGATATTATACAACTGTGGTAGAATATACAACACAAGTTTTTATTCTGTAGTTGGGGACCCCCTTTTTATTTGGAAGTAGAATGGAGAGATAAAGTAAGGTCAAACAAGAGTTAACATTTCAAATCATCTCATTTAAATAAGCAAGAAACTTTATCCAAAATCAGCTGTTCAATTTTCAAAATGTGGCATCCATGTGTTTGAAAGTGCTGAATCCTCAAAAGTAATACAAATTAATACTTTTTAAAAGTGAATGATAACTCGTTAATTTGTGTCTCATGGTTAAAACTAATCAACATGTGAACCAGATGATCACATGATTCCAGACAGTGACACATTGTTTGGGATGTGTAATCAATATTTAATCACTTATTGTCACTTACTATAAGATCTATCTTTTGATCACACTATGTTGTTGAATATTTTATGCTATTTTGCTAATAAATTACGTTGATAGTTTGTTCAACTCTGATAAATACTTAAATTCTTTCTCTGCTAAGATCTGATGTACTGTTCTTTGAATTTGCATATTATTTTAAATGTTACCATTTATCAACTTCCTTTTGGAATAATTGAATTTCTTTTTTAATACATATAATGTTTTATAGATTTCTATACTACTACTTAATGTTAACCATTTTAATCCAATAGGAAGAAAACTGACAATTTCCCTCATAAACTGTCAGCCTATTTGCAAGATAAAATTATCCAAAATGAAAATAACTTCCAATCTTGAAATCCACATTGAAAATATAAAGCCTTTCATTGGCAGGAAATATGAGTTTGAATCATAAATATTTTCCATATTTGTTTATCAGCTTTAGAGAAAGTTTTCCTCGTCAATGTATTTTACAGCAATAAAAAAAAAACGTAATAATTGGTTGGTGCATGGTAACATGAATATGACCAGTTGGGTAGAACAGACCAACTGAGTTTCAAATTTTTTTTCCTGTATTATTCTTGCAACATTATATTGTCATAGAGAAGAACAGTATTTTTTCTGTTGATGAGCACAGGGAATTTATTGACACTTTTTATGGACATGTTGTAGCTGCTGGATATATAACTGTGTATTGTTTCACTGCATTTTTAAGGATTCTAAATGAATAATACTCAATGATCCCAGCACATGCCCAACAGTACCTTCGATGGAGCTCTGTTTTGGGGTTGGTTGTGGAGATCTACTTTTGTCATTTCACTGCCTTTTGCTTTGAACATTGTATGTTAGTGTACTCCAAATCTATTCTTAATTGCCAGGTGTGATTAGTAGTCAAGATGATACTCCTGTCATTACAATTGGTTCTCTAAAGCAGAAATTACTTATATTCAATTTAGTAGTTTCTTTATAATGTACTGATTCTTTTAGACAGTTTTTGTCAAGTTTACTGTTTTCATAATGTTTTGAAGCTGTACCCTCTGACCTTACTGTGATGTTTACTAGAATTGCTAACTTTCTGCTAATATCAAATTGACCCACCTTTTATTCTACCAAATAGAACATATTCTTATTGTAACTGTCATATTTAGTGTCCTTATTAAAGAATTTTGGAGCTTACAATTATTAATCATTTCTGATGTTAATCAGCCTCTAGACTAAGCTAGTGCATCTTCTCTGAATTTTGTTTGATATTTTTTGGAGTAATTTTCTTATTTCCCCATTTCAGTCGTGTACTCTTTGGCCTTCTTCCTCTGGTGACTGTTGTGTAATGGAATGTTATGGAATCTTGTTCTGGACGAAACGATCTCAAGAACGCAAAGATGCAAAAGCCAGATGTGATTTGTATGAAAAAGGATGGGCATACTCCCACAGAACAAGATTCAACAACATTCCAGAATACAATAGACACCCAAGGAAGGCCAGAGGGTGCACAACCAAAACATTGTAGGTGGGAAAACATATCAAAGACAAGGAAAATAATTTGAACAAAACCACATGAAATTAAGGTGATGTACATTTCTGTACTACCTAACCCAAGGATTGAACTCATTACTTTCAGGGAACTACATAAGCATAATATTTCCCCTCCTACTAAATCTGATTTCTGATAGTTTCCAAGTTTTAGAAGGATGATTTTTACTACTTGATGCGGTTTTAAAATGAAATGGTTGAGAATTAAGGAAGAGTGACTCCATATTAGAGGGTTTTTTTTTTTTGGTTTTTTTTTTTGAGTTGGGGGTGTTAAACAATCCATATTTCTAAGGCAGTGGGAGTTTTTTTTTTTTTTTTTCATTAGATTACCTGGAAAAAATATTTACTATTTTAAGGATTATAATAGAATCATTTCAAAAAATATTTACTGTATGCATATGAGGGACTACTGAAAATGAGCCTTTAAAAAAAAAAAAAATGACATTTCGTCAGATTTTGGGAAATGAGTCAGGCCAAAAAATTTTCAGCCAATGTCTGATATAATGATATTGCTGTAGATGGGAGAGGAATAGCTTAAAGGTCTTCCCTCTGCATATATTAGTAATCGCTTTTTTTACTTTTTTTATTTGGTCTTATGGCCGCAATAAATTGAAACATTGGTTCCCATATAATCTGTAAAGTTAAGCAGCATCAAGCCTGGTCAGTACCTAGATGGTTGACCATTTGGGAATACTAGGTGCTGTAAGCTTGGATGTGCAGGTGGTGTAACAGATAATGGCTTAGAATTGTTAACTGGAAAACCAAGTTCTAATTCCTGTTAGGTTTATTATATTTACTTATGTGCAAATACTTTTGAGAAAGGTATGAATCCACCTCTTCTCTCCCCAGCTATGTGTTAATTAGTAAGACTTGAGTCATTAAAAAACATTATCTAAAAAAAATTTTTTTAAAATCTAACAATCTAAAAATATTTTCTGGCTTTAAATAACCTGCAAAGAGTTAAGACATAAAAAATACGAATCACTCAATGAATCCCCATTTATTTAATCTTAATTTCAGTTTTCTATTATAACTGTTGCCATTCTGCAGCTGTTAGTAATACATGTGGATTAGAAATAAAGAAAAGCTCTTAGTGAAAGACTCTAATGCTGTTTACTAACAGCCGTAGAATGATGAACCAAGTAATTGTGATGGAAAGTAACTTGAAAGGGATACAAGAAAATGTCAGTGCTGTGAAATTGCCTCTTCAATTTTTCTGAAAATTTGTTGGCTTCTGTCTTCATCATGGTCTTCTTCTAAACATTTCCCTTTAAATTCTTCAATGACCCTGAAAAATTCTTCTAATTCTTTCTTTGTCATCTTATGCTGACAGGTAGGTAAATATTAAAATCTAAAACAAAAAATTCAGTTTATTTTTATTTTTTATTTTTTTTTTAACATTATAATCATTAGTATTTTAACCTGAAAATTTCATTTATAATCTTTCCATAGTAAATGCATACGTCTTTTATAATTTGTTATTTTTTAATAAATGTAAATTCTGTATCTAAGTAAATTGTCAATTATTTTTATTTTTTTTTTTTTTTTATATAAACAAAAAAATCAGAAATGGGTGCAGAAATTGTCTGACACCCATGACTGGGTTCTCCTGCATGTGTGGCATGATACAGAGTCTTGTTGCCAAACATAGTCTTCAAGTAGCCACCCTCTTACCCTTGATGTAGGCCTCCATATTGAGTCTGAGGCCCTGTGGGAAGATGAATGGGGGCATAATGTTGCCATCACTAGTGATCACTTCAAACACCTTTGTAATCACCATTAGACTCAGCCAACTCTTTCTGAATCCTCTGCACTGTCTCTGAAATGATTGTATTGAAGCTTCCAGTGTGAATTACAAGCATTACATGCTGTTTTCAAATCTCTGATGGTGCTCTTTTTCTCATAGACAATACCTAACTGACTCTGCTATAATGTGCCATTGACAAAATCAGAAATTTCCTTTTAAGGCATTAAATAAACATGAAAAGTAATCAAAATATTAAAAAAAATTTTAAGAGACAAATATTCAAATATGTATTTTTATTATTGTTTTATATGCTTATATCATAAAATTTATATATTTATAACTGTATATATTCCTTATATTATTTTTTTTTAACACTACTTCAATTACTTTGCTTGACAAGTATTATATTATCTAAGTACATAGTTAACTATTCCATTTTTAAATTTTAGAAAATTTTTAATTAACTGGTAACTATAAAAAAATTAATTTTCAATTACTAAGGTTAAACTGAAGAATGTTTTACTGCACTAATTGAATTTTGGTATGAAAAAAATTTTAACGCACTAATCGAAAATGCATTAATTAAGGTGTTCCTGTATATTCAAAGCTAACAATTCGAAGTACTTACATCAGTTTTTTGGCCAAAATGGGTTCACTAAACATTTTCTTGTCTTTTCTATATCTACCCAGAATTTGTTCAATAACACTTTTGAAAGTTGCTATTCATGCGTATATCTATTTTCCAAATGACTTCTCAACTAGAACTATATTTCATTTAAACAATTTGGATATAATCACTTTTGGTCATAAGCCTTTGATACACAAGTACCTTTTCAGTTTCAGATAAACGAGCCTGAACACAAATCTATCAGAGACATCTTTATTTCAACCACCCCTTTATTGAATATTAAAATGCGACGTTTTATCCTAGAATTCTCACAGTCTGAATTAAGGAATTGGAGGCAATTTCCTGAATATTTGATAAAAGGGGTGGTTGGAATAAGGGTGTACCAGGTGGATTTTTTCTCTCTCTCATGTCCTTATTTTTACTTCATTTCATTCCAAGAAAGGCAATAAAGCCACTGGGACACCTGTCATTTGAAACTCTGTTATTCTTTTCTTTTTCTTTTTGTGCACTTACTTTGAGATGCAGTTTTATTGAACAAAACATTGTCATAAAAAAAGAAACAAAAAATGAAAAATCAGTAAAAGATTATTTTCAATAATTCTCTTACTTTGCAATTTATGTTAACTACATTAATCAATCTGGATGTTGACCTCTTATTCTCAGAGATTCTGCAAATTTAGTTTGGTCTTTGAAAGCAAAAGGGTCATTCAATAAATAAGGTGAATTTTTCGGTATAAGGACTTCTAATACAGATAGAAGCTTTCTTTTTTTTTTTTTTTTTTAACGTAGTCTCCTAGCACTGTCACACACTTTTCCCATCTGTGCACAAGCTTCCGTATTCCTTCAGCGTAAATATCTTTGGACTGATGTCTCAGCCAGTCGCTCACAACACTTTTGACTTCATTGTCACTTTTAAACTTTGTGCCTCTTGTGAACGCTTTCAAGGGACCAAACAGGTGAAAGTCTGAAGGGGCAAGGTCTAGGCTGTAAGGGGGATGAGGGGGGCAGTTCCCAGCCCAGCTCGTTGATGGTCTGCAGTGTTTGGGCTGCTGTGTGAGGCCTTGCGTTGTCATGATGCAAGATGATTCCTTCTGACTGATGACCCCTGTGTTTGTTCTTTGTCTTTCTTGACCTGCCTCAGCAGTTCACAGTAGTTTTTCTGTCAGCCTGAATGAGGTCATTGACTGATGCGATCACCTCAGGAGACCTCACTTCTGTAGGCCTCCCAGGCCTGTCTTCATCCTCAACACTGCTCCGTCCTTCTTTAAACAATTTAGCCCACTTGTAGACATTTTTTTGGCTGAAGCATGTGGCACCATACACAGTTGACATTCTCCTATGAATTTCAACTGGTTTGCACCCTTCAGCAACCAAAAACTTGATAACTGACCGCTGTTCAATCCTGGAGCATGCTTCTTGGTCGGCCATCTTTGTTAATTGCCAAAACTCTCAAAGTTTTTTTTTTAATCTGCAAAAGAAATTAAATCCATGTGAAAAAGAAGTAAAACAAAAAAAAAAAAAAGAAAAAGTAATCTTCTATCTGTATTAGAAGTCCTTATACCGAAAAATTCACCGTATTTATTGAATGACCCTCGTACATGAAGCCAATCCTTTGACCCTATTCATAGCATTAGAAAGCATTTGAAAACTGAAGGTTTTCCAATTCATTTTCCTATCTTAATTTTATAAAAAAAAATTAAACTGAAAATTACAAATACCATTCAGAAAATATTAAGAGAAGCTTTTTTTTTTTTTTTTTGTGAGCTAAAAATGATTCTTGATAGTCTATTTTTAGAGTAACTTGCTGAAGAATGATGGTTTGCAAGCTTTTCTATCAGATCATTAGTACTGCAGTGAGTGTGGTTTTCATTTGCAGCACTAAATTTGTGGCCCTGTTCCAATTTAAATAAATACGAGTAGATCCATATTGTTTAGATTGCAAAGATGTTACATAAAGAAAATTTGGTCATAAACCACCTCAATGTAAGCAATACAGTGATGGGAATTACTTTGTAGATAATTACTGATATTCTAGAAATTTAGTAAAATTTTCACGGGCTTTTTTCTTTCTTCCTCCTCTTCACTGTTTTTTTTTTCTTCTTCTTCTTCCTCCTCTTCACTGTTTTTTTTTTCTTCTTCCTCCTCTTCACTGTTTTTTTTCTTCTTCTTCCTCCTCTTCACTGTTTTTTTTCTTCTTCTTCCTCCTCTTCACTGTTTTTTTCCTTCTTCTTCCTCCTCTTCACTGTTTTTTTCCTTCTTCTTCCTCCTCTTCACTGTTTTTTTCCTTCTTCCTCCTCCTCTTCACTTTTTCCTTCTTCCTCCTCCTCTTCACTTTTTTCCTTCTTCCTCCTCCTCTTCACTTTTTTCCTTCTTCCTCCTCCTCTTCACTTTTTTCCTTCTTCCTCCTCCTCTTCACTTTTTTCCTTCTTCCTCCTCCTCTTCACTTTTTTCCTTCTTCCTCCTCCTCTTCAATTTTTTTCCTTCTTCCTCCTCCTCTTCACTTTTTCCTTCTTCCTCCTCCTCTTCACTTTTTTCCTTCTTCCTCCTCCTCTTCACTTTTCCTTCTTCCTCCTCCTCTTCACTTTTTTCCTTCTTCCTCCTCCTCTTCAGTTTTTTCTTCTTCCTCCTCCTCTTCACTGTTTTTTCTTCTTCCTCCTCCTCTTCACTGTTTTTTCTTCTTCCTCCTCCTCTTCACTGTTTTTTCTTCTTCCTCCTCCTCTTCACTGTTTTTTCTTCTTCCTCCTCCTCGTCACTGTTTTTTTCTTCTTTTCGTCACAAGATTTTTTCTTCTTCTTTCGTCACTGTTTTTTCTTCTTCTTTCGTCACTGTTTTTTTTCTTCTTCTTTTTCGTCACTGTTTTTTTTCTTCTTTTTCTTCACTGTTTTTTCTTCTTTTTTTCACTGTTTTTTCTTCTTTTCTTGTCACTGTTTTTTCTTCTTCTTTTCGTCACTGTCGTCACTGTTTTTTTTTCTTCTTTTCGTCACTGTTTTTTCTTCTTCTTTCTCGTCACTTCTTTTTTTCTTCTTCACTGTCACTGTTTTTTCTTCTTCTTTCTCGTCACTGTTTTTTCTTCTTCTTTCTCGTCACTGTTTTTTCTTCTTCTTTCTCGTCACTGTTTTTTCTTCTTCTTTCTCGTCACTGTTTTTTCTTCTTCTTTCTCGTCACTGTTTTTTCTTCTTCTTTCTCGTCACTGTTTTTCTTCTTCTTTCTGTCACTGTTTTTTCTTCTTCTTTTTTTTTTTTTTCTTCTTCTTTCTCGTCACTGTTTTTTTCTTCTTCTTTATCGTCACTGTTTTTTCTTCTTCTTTATCGTCACTGTTTTTTCTTCTTCTTTATCGTCACTGTTTTTTCTTCTTCTTTATCGTCACTGTTTTTTCTTCTTCTTTATCGTCACTGTTTTTTCTTCTTCTTTCTCTTCATCCTCCTCTTAGCTGGTTTTTGTTTTCCTCCTCCTCTTAGCTGGTTTTTGTTTTCCTCCTCCTCTTAGCTGGTTTTTGTTTTCCTCCTCCTCTTAGCTGGTTTTTGTTTTTACCTGTCTTTTTGTGTCACCTTTTTTTTTTTTTTTTTTTTTCTAATCCCAAAATGAATTTATCCCAAAAAAGTTTTTGAATTATAATAATTGATTTTTTTTTTTTTTGTAGAGTGCAATTCCTATGTATCATCAACGGCACAGTTTGCCAAAGTAAGTATAATTTTGATTTTTTTAAATTTTTTTTTATTTATTTTTTTTTTTTTTTTATTTGTCAGCACTTTCCAGATAATTTTTTTTCTGTCTTTCTGCTTCATGACTATTACTATTATTCATTATTTTGCCTGGATTGATTTTGCGGGGTTTGTTTGCTGTGCTAGTTTAACTCAGGTATACCAGAGTATTGATTGACCACACCCTTTGGTCATGACTTTGTTACTCTGGTCATACGCAGTGTGTAATAAAATTCTAGTTTTGGTTCCCTACACAACAAAAGCAAAAAATGACTTCATAACAGTGTGGTTAATATAAATCAGTTTGTTACCCAGCTTTACTGCTATGTTTACTAAAAATGATAATGTGTTTGACTGGACTGAGCTCAGTGTTGGGAATTTTCTTTTGTAGTGTTGTTCTCTTTGTTTTGTCACTTGCAAGTTTCTTCTTTTTGAATGAACAAATTTGATTGCATGAATCCCTATATAATATCATTACTGGTGTAGGAAACATATCTTTAAATACTTCAGAAACTAAATATGTTGAGATGGGTAGTACCCAAGTTATTTGAGGCAAGTACACCTTCAAGAAGGCTTGAAAGCAGTCAAAAGTTAAATGTACAAAGGCCCAGTTTTTTTATGAGAGAATGCTTGATTGCATTTTATTTATGATTATTGGAATTATGGAAGAAAAAAAACAAAGAAATTTAATTCAAAATAATTAGTGGGGAATGAGAGATACTTAATTAATCATAACTGAATATTGATTTGTAGATACCTTAGTACAATAGTATAACTTAGGTACTACTTTATACTCACCTGCTACACTTGCCAAGCCAGGTGAAAATAATACATAATAAATTACTTCCTTTGCTGAAGTCAGAAATTCTCTAAAGATTAAGTTATTTACATAAAGATTTATCCATTGGATTGGTATGGTTTCTTAATCAGAATAATTTTAGAGAGACTATTCTAAAAACTATGTCAGAACTGACCAGTGTGTCATGTACTTTGTTTACATAAACTTCACTAGTGGTTTTAAAAGAACAGTTTTCAGAACTCGGGGAAAGTAGTTAGTTGGCCATGAGTTCTCTAAAATAGGAGACATTTAGAAAAAAATGTATAAATTAGGAGTTAAATTGGACCAATACAACAATGTAGGCTGAATTTCATTTATAAAAATAAAGGATGCACTTTAGGGAGTTCTACCAAGTTAACAAGAGAGAAAAAGACAAGAGTTCCATCATGGCTGCCAGACAGACATGTGAAAAATAGAATGTAACAGTTGTAAAAACAGATCACTAGATGATTACCCCAGGCTTTGAAAATTGAGAGAAAGAGCAAACCCATATAAAATAGTTATTCTGTCATAATTTTAGTTATGAATGAGTGGCTGAATGTTCAAACTACTGGGTAAAGCTGTCAAGCATTAGGACTGGGGAAAGGAAGACACTAATTTGAAACACCTATGTAACCAATAGCTAAAATAAACTTTTTGTTAAAATTTTATTAATGTATTCTGGTCTTAATCTTTATTCAAAGACTTTGATCAAGCTCAGGAATCAGTCATTTTTAGTTTTGTATAATATGTGACTGACTTGTGATGTTTCAATTTTGTTGCACATTGAAAATTAGGAAGGAAAGATATTCTAAATGGTCAGGAATTATTGCAAGCATTATTGACAGATTTGAACTATGATATGCATAATATAAATGTATTGCTAATTATTTTATTATTTAAAAAAAAAAAAAAGCAGTCACAAATAATATTCTTGAAAGGAATAGTTAATAGTCAGGAATTAATGATAGTATGCTGAAAAGTTCTCAGGCAGACTAAGAACTCCTTTCCCCCGACAAAACAAAACAAAAAAAAAAAAAACTGATATTTGGTCAGATTGAAAACTTTTCAGCACTTCCTCATACAAGAATTACTGACAAAATACAGCTATTATATGTATTATAAGTGTGTATAAAAATTGCTTTTCCTTTACTGAAAATATTGTGAATAATTTGTTTTAAAAGAATTCCCTGGAGAGTCAGAAGAAATAAGTTTAAATTTTTTGCTGAATAATTCTCAGAATATTTAAAACTGCAAAAGAAAGTAAAATATTGCTTTGTTTCCTCACTTTTTAATTTTTGTTAAATTATATTGTAAATTTCATGTAAATAGAAAAGAGGAATGCTAATGCTTTTATAAATATTTATAAAAAATATAGGCATATTTTAAAAATTTGTTTTTGCTTTCCCCTCTGATCATACCTGAAATGTTTTTAAATAATAAAGATGTTCTTATGGTTAAGAATTCATCAGTCCTATTAGAATTTTTTTTGTACCTCCCTTTGTTAGTTTACACAACTGTTACACCCTGCTGATACCTCATAAATAATGAACTATTCCATTTTGATTGTGTGGAAAGAGGAGAAAAACACTACTTGATTTCAGTGAGAAAATGAAAAAGAGGGAAGATAGAAGAAGAGAGAGAATCAGATTAAGTTAAAAACAGATACTACACTTGTATCTCGGTCAAAAGGCTGAAAATTGATGCTGACTGTGATAAAAGCACCATTGTTCAGACACAGTATTGAATGATGGAAACCAATTAAGGTAAACACCAAAAATCCAGTTACCATAAATAAAAGTATTATTAAGAGATAAGATGAGGATTTGGTTAGAAGGAAGGGAACATGGAAGTGTTTAATGTCTCCTGCCAATACCTCATATATATAATGGACTATTTCATTTTGATTGTGCAGAAAAACATATGCTACATATGTTACTTGGTTTCAAAGAGAAAATGAATGAATGAAAGATAGTGTTTAACAGCTGTTTCATTGAAATGAAAAAAAGTTCATTTCAAATCTTTTCATTTGTACCCACTTCTTAAAATAATGACCTGCATTCATATTTATGATTGTTATTTCAATATTAAAGATGTTAAGCTCAAATATTTAACATTCTGATAGGGGAATTATTAAGGATATTTTATTACTGTAGAACTCGCCATGAGCTTATTCAATCATTAACTGAAGAATTAAGATTCAACATAAAATTCAAATAGGAAAACTGAAATTTTCATGGGTCTTTTTAGTAAGAATTATCTGCTGTATATTTATTTATTTATTAACTAACTTATTTATTTTAAGCTAAGAATTTAGTGTTTATGGAGCTTCTCTTCCTCAATAACCAGATTATTTCTCCTTAGGTATTATCAGCTAGTCTCTTAAGAGGATCAAGTAATTTTGAATAATTATCTGGTGGTGACAAATTTGAAATTTTATCTTTAGACAGTTATCATCAGATTCTTATTCTGTGTGCCATGCTCCTTCAGGATGTCATGGCTCTTATCAGTGGTGAACTTCAATATGGTGTAATGGCTAGCAAGGCCATCTTGCTAGATTAACTATGAGTGAGTTTGATCCTCATAGGGTACCCCTACTTTCAGCTTTGTGCCACATCTAAGCTGTGCTTAGAAAATCACAATCACTCCTAGTCACTTTTATGCCATCCATTTTTACAAGTGTTACTGTTTTTTCTTTTCCTCTTACCGTCACTATATCCTGTGAGTGTCAAATTTTCCAAGTCCTCTTTCCTACTGTGTTCAAAAAATTTCAACTTCCACCTTTTGGTTCTAAATATCAACATGCTTTTTTTTTTCTATTTTCCTTAAAAACTTCCTTGTTACTCACATGCTCAGTCTACAGTATTCCTAGCATCCTTCTGTAGAACTTCATTTCTGTTGTCTCAATTAAAAACTATTTTCATGGACTTTTAAAGGAAAATCTAACCAGTACAAAATTTAAACATCTGGAAAGTGTTATAACAAAGGTCGCTTCTTCATCTGTGATGAGATTGTCCAACATTCACTACTATATAAGAGGATTGATATTACCTAAGTTTAGTACTCTTTTCTTTGTTTCTAATGACAATTTCCTATTTCTTAATACTTATTTTTAGCTTCTGGAAAGCAACTTTTACTGTTCCAATGCACCTTCTGATTCTGGTGTCGTATTTTCCGTCCTTTGTTATAACACTTTCCATATGTTTAAATTTTGTACTGGCTAGATTTTCCTTTAAAAGTCCATGAAAATGGTTTTTAATTGATATATATGAGAGAGAGAAAAGCATGTTCATGATTTTTTTTTTTTTAATTGATTAGGTACACCTCAATTCACTTAAAACAATTTTACATGGAATTGCTACATTTACAGTGACTTCATGTAGTTAATGTAAGATAATATGATTTGCTTGGAGAAATTCACAAAAATCTGATAGCTTAAAGATATCAAACTCACTAAAAACATCTAATTATACAGTCAAACTCATCCATATAATACAATCTACAAACTTATTTGTAATTATAAATTTGTGCTAAACAATATTATAATTAAGCTTTTGAATATACATTAGTCCAAAACAATGAGAAACAAGCTCTTCAGTACTATGAGCAGCTTGTAAACTGAATTAAGTCTTTATTGTCACTAATGACTAGTTACTCAATAGCTACCAGTTGTGCACTGTCTCTGTTCACTGATATCAGTTTATATTCAGTTACTAACTTGAAAGGAATTCTTTGACGGTTGCTACAAAGAAAAGCTACATTAAACACCATAAAATTAACGTTAAATTCAACAGCTTTGCTTTCAAATGACTGTCATTTTTTTTCAATACATGAAAAACAATTTTTTAATATGCACATATAATGAAATGAAAAGTTCTCATCTGACACAATTCTCAAAATGCAACCATACATTAGATTTTTAATTTTTATTTATTAATTACTTTGTAAAGGAGTTTAAAGAATAAGGCTTTAGAAGGTACAGGAAACCCAATTGTAAATGAGAAACAAGGGATAAACCTCTGCTCCTGTTCAATAGACAGAGTAAGTGTGGGGACCAGGTGATGGATGAATGCATCTACTCTTATTAATTATTTATTTAAGTGAAAGTAAGAGTTATGAGAGAGTGGTTCACTCATACACTATTTCCTCTTAGTGAAGAGACATTTT